TAACCCTAACCCTAACCCTAACCCTAACCCTAACCCTAACCCTAACCCTAACCCTAACCCTAACCCTAACCCTAACCCTAACCCTAAGCATCAGAGCTTGAAGACGTGTGATCTGGATCTCCTCTGTACCGTACTTGACGTGGCTGAGGTCATGCGCCCAAGAGCAGATGAAAGGCGTGACTTCATCCTGAGCAAGCACCTTGCCGTAGCGGTGGAGAGACTGGAGGTGGGCGCTGGCAGAGTTGCTGTTGTGGTAGACATTCTCCTTGAGGTGCTTGCGCATGGCCTTCTCTGTCTGAGACGTGGACATCTCCAGAAGCTGACCGTCAGTGTCATTGAAGAGGTGGTGGTGCAGCACGGTGCGCACGCAGAACTCCAGGCTGGCAATGATGGACGTGGCGGCACTGACGGCTCTGGGCATGCCTTCTCTGTCCACGCACATGTGCACAAAGAGACGCACCAGCATCAGCTCATCTGTCTGACCGTGTCTTGCTGGGCGCTGAGTGACAAGCTGGTGAGAGAGGCTGAGCAGCGCTTCTTCCACTGCAACATTGACCTGGTGAACGCTTGACCGATGCTCTGCAGCTGCACGTGCATCAGGGTTGGTGCCTAGATCATCCTCCCCGTGATCAAAGAGCGTAGACAGGTCACGCAGGCAGTGGATGGCCTCGGTGGCATCGTCTGTGACTACCAGGTGCTGATCCCAGCTGCGGCTGCCGTGATACTGGAGGGTCTCACCGTCCAAGGCAAGGTGCGCAAGCAGAGCAAGGACGTTGCCCCACATGTCAGCACGCTTCTTGATGGTCTTTGGCTGAAGGTTGTACGGCTCTGACGGCTCGTCACTGTAGGCATGGAACGTCTGCTGCATGTAACGGCCAGACTCCATAAAGGTCTGCATCCAACGCTGAGCAGACGCTTTGGCCATTCTGGCCAGCCAGTGAACAAAGTCGTGGTGTGCGCCGGGCCAGCTTGATGTGTCGGTGCCCAGAGCACCAATGGCAGCCAGCGGCTTGCCTGCCCAGTACAAGCGCCACTTGAGCTGCTTGGCCCAGGGTCCAATGTTGCCGCTGAGCATGGATGTGTCCAGAACCGGGTTGAGCAGACCTGCGTCACGGAGAGCGGCTTGGTCCTGCTGAATGAATGCAGCAGCCCTGGCCGTGATGGCATTGTCTAGCTGATGCGCGTCCAGGTTGGCGTTGAGGATGGCCTGCGGAGGTGTGGGGTCCAGCTCCTTGTCCTGCACATAGATGTAGCGCTTGTTCTTGCCGTGTTCCTGGATGACCTGCAGCAGGACAGGGTGCGTAGGCTTGGCTTTGACCTTCAGGTCTGCATGTTTGTCCTTGACGTGGGCAGACATGGCGTTCCTGGCAAAGATGGCATAGGAACAGTGACTGCACTGGTAGCCGTCCGTCACCACAGGCAGCTCCTTGATCTTGGGCACCGGCAGCCGGTCGTGATCCACAGGGACGTCCTTCGGAAGAGGAAGATCAAGCTGATCAAGCATGGCCTGGATAGCACGGCGTGAAGCGTCACCAAGGGGCTGGTGATGGAAACGCTGCACATGAGCAGTGACGTCTCTGAACAAGGGCGTCAGCGGCACTCCAAGGGTGCAGCCAACACGCGTGCAGACAAGCAACTGCGGGTGATCCACCAAGCGGAGATAGAAGCGGCCAAGAGTGGCGCTGGTGACGGCAGTGGCAGCATTGGGTGCTTGAGCGGCAGCATCACCAGCAGCATTGGCGGCCAGTTGGTTGGCAGCAGGAAGCAGTGGGCTGTATAGAATAATGCAGATATGTGAGTTGAAATGTACTGCAAGGCTGATGACGCGTGAGGACGGGTGAACTTACGTTTCAGCAAGGGAGGTTGCAACCGTCTTGCCTTTGACTGTGTTGACTGCGTTGACAGCGGTGTCAGCGTTGTTGTCACTGTCAGAGCAGACAGAGGGAGGTGACTGCGGAGTCATTGTTGAAGAAGGCAGCTTGTAGTGTAGAACAATGAATCTGGTTGGTGTTGAAACAGAGAGCGTGAAGTGGTTGATGGTTTCAAGACGTCTCTTGGTTCCTCAGCAAGCACGTCTATATATTGCAGACATCTGCTAAGCCAGCGCAGAGGCGCTGACTGCTGTGCGTGACTTGCAGTCTACCGTACTCCAGGCAGAGGCTGCTGCTTGACGTACCGCTTGCTTGCTGCACACTGGACCAAGCAAGCGCTGTGAAAAGTTTTGTCAATGTCTTCATCGCACTTGACTCAACACAAAGGGCAACCGTGGGAACAAAGGGAACATCAGTTGGACGTGCCCTGATAGGCTGGAGAGGCCAGACATGCTGCTCCGTGTTCAAGGACAAAGGGAGATGGTGTTGGCAGTGCCGTCTTGCGGTGGTGAACAAAGG